TATCCTTTTTCAAGAGAAAAATCCCACCAAATAGACCACAGCCTGGAGCCTGCAGATTTTTCTTGACAACTTCTCTGTTATTTTCTTTTATCCTGGGCTCTCATTCCAACACGAAATTTCAATCACAGTATATACATATATCACCTTACATTCAGTACATGGATCTCAGCATAGGATGTAGGGTTGAAATGACAACTTGCCCTGGAGATGAAGAGAGGCTGTCCATACAAGAAGAGGGTGTTCTCAGAACCTCATGAGAGAAGGTCATTTGCACATGTCTCTGTGCAAATACATCTGACTCCATACATAGATATGTGTTTGGAACAAATAATAGAAAAATTGTGGACATATGTTTTGTCTTAATTGAAGCTCATAAATACCACATGTTAACAAATCCAAAGGTTTTACCCATTCAGCCAAGTGACTCCTAGTACTTTTGTCTTTTAAATGGGTCAGTGGAAAGAGGACCCCAATTCAAACCCCACTTCTGACATTTACTACCCTGTTCGACCTTGGACAAATCCTTTAGACTCTCTGGACCTCAGTTTCTTCATTTATAAAATCGACTAGATGATGTCAAAAGTTCCTTTGCATCTCCAAATCTATGATCCTAAGACTCTTATGTTTAATAATTTATTTTTAAACATAAGGATGCATCTTAAATAGCATCCTTTAATGACAGATATACATAAATAGGATCTTTTTTTAATTTGATGCTGAGACAAAGAATTCTCGGTTTCTTAAAATTGTTTTTGTTGGATTATTTTTTCCTCAATGAAAGACAAATATTCAGACAACAAATATTCATTCTTGATGCATTCACATGGTAGATTTTGCAAGAAGGGCATTTGGGGTTTACAACTGAAATGACTGTCCTATGCTAACTCCATGCTGTGGTCTATCAGCTATGGCTGATGCTACAGTCGGCATGGTGAAGAGTCACTGTTGCCAGGAGAGGAGTTTTGCATGAAAATAAACAGCTCTTTCTCCTGACGTTATCACTGGTGATTGGCAGAGATGATTTGGGCTTCAGAAATAGTACTGAGATAACATTACATCTCCGGAAATGCATACATGTAACATGTCTTCTCCATAAGAGAGATATTGTCTTTCTTTCTCTCTCTGTCTCTGTCCTAGCTTTCCCCTATTTTATTTACATCTGGTTTTCCAATTCCAAACAAAAGCTAAATATAAATTTGAAACAGGTAGACCTTCCCTTACTTGCCACAAGTGAGGTGATCACTCAGCACCCCTCACCCACTCTTCTTCTTCATCATTTAGTTCTTCTAACACAGGCTGGATGACTACTTGTCAATGACAAGGTCAGAGGGGATTCATGCTTTGGAAGGTACATGAATCAGATGATCTCTAAGAGTCTATGATTCTTGAATTTTCACAAGAAATTTTCATTTTCCATTACTCATATAACAAGCATGGATGATCAGGAAGGTGAGTAGTATGCCACAAAAGACCTTGAATAACAGAAAAAGTAATTTAGACTTTATTCATTGGGGGAAAATGTTTTAAAAATAACCATTTTTGAGCCAGATGGTGATAATCACAGCTGTGATTTCAGAAGATTATTTTGACAGCATCATACAGGATGGATTGTCTAGGAGAGTCTAGGAGAAGATTGGTTAATAATAATAATAATAATAATAATAATAATAATAATGATAATGATAATAGCTAATGTTTATACAGCACAGGCTATTGCAAGAGTACAGATGGCATAGGGTGAGGGCCCCAGGTTGGGTGGTGGGAGAGACAGTAAACAGAAAGATGAAGATGGATATCAGAATGCAGACTTGACAGTTTAAAAGGCTGAGAACCAGACTAATGCTTAATTAGAGTGGGTGCAATGAATATCCCTGTCTGCTCAGTAAAAGGACAGGGTCTCCACTGGATCATTCTGAATTGCCGGTGCAAATTTTGCCTGGGAATGGCTCAAACTCAGTTCCATTCAGCAATTTCCATGACGGTCTCCATGGAGATGTCCCTTATCTTTCCCATGTCCTCTGTTTTGATTAGTCAACTTTATAAATGAGGGGTTTTGTGATATAGGACAGAATATGAATGGCAAAATAAACAGATGAAACAGTAAACTGATTCGACGTTGCTTGGCTCATGTGATGATTCCTGCAGTGGCATACGGAGCTACTCCAAACCAGTCCCATGATCCTAGAGCCAACAGGTGCCGCAGGTAGTGTCATGCTCCATTTGCTACTTAGGAAAGACCAATGGCTCTGAATTAGAGGACTTGATTTCAAATCTCACCTTGGATTCTTACTACCTATGTGACCTTGGGCCTCTCATTTTTCTCTCTGGGCTTCAGTTTCTTGGTCTATAAAATAAAGGCTTGCATCTCCTGATAGAGGTGATAAAGACAAGATGCAGAAGGAGACATAGACTTTTTTGGATACGGTCAATGTGGTCATTCACTTTGCTTGATTATGTATATTTGTCACAAGGATTTTGTTTTTCTTTTTTCAATGGAGAGGAGCAGAGAAAGAGAAAAAATCAATTTTTGTTGATAAAAACAAAATCAATTTTTAAAAAAATGAGGGGTTTGGACTAAGTGGTCTCTAAGATTTCTTCCAGCTCTAGACCTATGAGGTTATGGCCCATCTAGTCCAGCATACCTCATGGGCTATGACTGGGCCCTGACTGGGCATCCCATACCTATCAAGTGGCAAGGGCAACATTAGAAGCGGGTCTTCTAGGTGACCGATCTGGTAGTGCTTCCCTCCACATCACTAATATCCAACTCAAATAGAAAGGAATCCATGCAGGGCTACGTGCTGACCTAGAAAACCACAAGTCAATATTATCTATGTTGTATGGTATCTTTATTTATTTTGTTAAACATTTCCTAATTGCATTTTAATATGGTTCCTTTGCAGGTAGACGCTGGTGGCCACAAGTCTGATGCCTCACTCTACACCACACTGTCTAGTCTCCATTTCAAATCAGAATTTTAGGCTCCACCCTGCCCAGTGGGCAAATGACTTCATGTCTCTAAGCCTCAGTTCTCATCTATGAAATCGGTACAATAATATTTGCACTTTGTTCACATGATTGTTGTGAGGAAAGTGCCTTGTGAACCTAAAGTTCTATAAATAGGAGTTATTAGTCCCATCGATACCCACAGAGTAATATGTGACCTAGTGAATATTCATACACTTTCAGGTCAGCAAAGGAGATGACCTTATGTTAATGAGGTTTCTTCCACGGTTTAAAACCTTTCATCTATTATACAAGCATTGGGAATTCACTACAGGAGAGAGAGCATGGAATAGTGGAGGCAGAATTAGTCCCAAAATCAAGAAGACCTGATCATGGACATGAACTCATCAGGTCTCACCTCGGACATACTGGCTGAGGCACTAAGGAAGTTGCTCAACTTCTCCAGTGCCCCCAGGCAACACTCTAAACTTCTAAATTACCAACAGTTCCTAACCCCTAGAATCCTTAGTTTCCTTCAAGGTTCATATCAAGCTATGAGTGTTTTCTAGCCAAAATTATCTTATATCTACTTTGAATGTACCTATATTCATATATATTATCTCCCCTTAGTAGACTGTAAACTCTTTGTAAGCAGGGGCTATTATTTTTTTGCCACTATATCCCCAGCACCATAGTAGGCACTTAATACGTGCTACATGATTTACTTATTAATCTGCATTGGTAGAAGGCGTTCTCCCAGCAATTAAATCGAGGCTTCGTCCCTCACCCCCACCAGAATGTCACTATAGTCCAGAATGGTGCCCAGAGATGGAATAGGAAAGACTTGGACATAACTGGCTCCCGTCCACCATGATACAAATGGGCTAACATGAACAGTGTTAGAAGGATTAAAATTCGGTGGCAGAAATGAGTAAATTAAAAATTCAGCCAGAATGCTATTCAGAGATGCTATGCTTCATATGGAGGCTGTAATCTAACCTGAATCACTCAACTCAAAGGGCTGATTTGTGGGTTGGATTCCAAACTCTTTATTTTCTCAAAAAAATGTAAAGCAAATTTGGCACATGTTAACAGGAACCAGACAACCAACCCTGGACTATTGGCAGAGCTTCCACTAACTTCAGCAAGAACGTTTCTAGAAGGGCCAAGATGTAAATTTCCATTAAGCTATAATATCCAATGGCACTTTGAGGGGGCAAAGCTAGGGCTGAAGTGGTGTCAGTTTGCCAATCCCAACAAAAATGAAAGAATCCATGAATAACAAATCCAGTGCCATTACAGTTGTTTGTATCCATCAGGGTGATTAACAAGATGAGAGGAAAATGATCAGCTTAAGAGGTAGGGCAGCAGCCCAAGTATTATGTCCAGCTCTAGATATCTAATAAAATAACAGCCCTGAGATCAAAAGTCTGAAATCCACAAAGGTGAAAGGTCCAGGGGTGACTGTAGACTAGGTAAGAAAATAGAATCTCAGTGAAAAAGCCATGAATTCAAAGCTTCTGTATAGAGCAAGGTCAGGAAAATACCAGGGAGAAAGAGTAAATGGGTAGAAAGACTGGGCTATTGAGGAACAGTCTCATAACCACCAATCTGCTAGATGCTTCACTTCCCCACTCAAACGTGAGCTCAAACACTTGTAAGGCAACAGTCATTTAGTGGCATATTCCCAATCTTGACTCCTACCAACCAAAGAATGCATGTAACTCTACTGGAATGGAAGACCTTTTTATTCTACCCAATAACACAGAAACATTTGCTCCTTCAACATCTAATTCTCTGAAGGAACTCTATGACTCATAACTCATATGACAATTAGTTAACACTGAACAGTGGTGCATATTCAGATAATAGAAAATCAGAATACTATTCGACAAATAGATCAATGAACAGAGGGATAATTCACTGCATCCATCTCTCTAACCAATCCCAGGCTTTCTTGCAGATGCTGTCTAGAGGATGCATACACAGCTGGAGCTCAGCAGACAATGAACATTGCCATATTAGAGGCAAGAGGAAATAGAGACTCTACTTACTAAACAGTTGGCAATAGAGGACCTGTAAACTTCTCTTCATGGTATCATCTGGTCCTGCTTGTCCTCCAGTTTATTCATGATTCTGTCTGGGAGATGGAGAGAAGAAAATTTATCATGAGAATGGAATCATTCTTTTCCCTTCAGGGAACATAATCCAATCCAGCTGTTCAGAAATAGTTCCACTAATGTCTACCACGGGTGTAATGGACCATTTCAAAACACCCTCAATATTATCACTCCAGAAGGGGGTCCTGGCAATGGGTGAACCATAAATAGTTCATTTCGAACACAGCCATCAATCAAATTCTTAAACTGTGCATCTCCCAAGGGAAATTCCAACCAGAATGTAAGAGTGAAGATCTGGCTTCAAAGCTTTGGAAGGTTTTCCTGACAACTTGTTTGAATTCCTAAGGTCAGAAATAGAAGACAAAAAAAAATTCTTTTTACATACTCTCCAATCCCCACCCCCTCCAAACAAAATGTTCTTAATACTATGTGTGTCCATGTGTAATTCTGGATGAATGGTTGAACCCATGAGGAGTCACTTACAAGGAGTCACTGCTCTCTTCATCGTTTAAGCCCTTTATGGCTCCATATTTATGATCCCAAGGAAGCAATTTCTGCTTCACATAGTCTAAGAGGAAGAGGGCATGGGAAAAATTGGGCAGAAATCAGGCAGTGGACAAATTAGAAGTTTGATAAAAATTGAACAATCATCTCCTTCCTTACTCTTTCACTGGTTCCACCCAACTTTGGTCCATTTGCTACACAGATGTATACTAGAAAAATGGAAAACGGAAGCTTATTCCAAATCAATGAAATTATAACCACTTCTCTCTCTTCTCCTTTTATGCTTGACCAAAAAAACCCTTATGAGGGAGGGAGGGGGAAAAGATGTATTAGAAACAGCAAGGCTCAGAAGAGCTCTCAGTTTACAATCTGATGATCTGGATTTGAATCCTGCCTTTACCAGTTGGAGAAGGAAATGGCAAACCACTCTGGTATCTTTGCCAAGAAAACCCCAAAAGGGGCCACAAAGAGTCGGACGAGACTGAAAAATGACTGATCAACAACAACTCTAACAGTTACTGGCCATATATTCTTGGGCAAGTCATTCAACATGGCTGGGAATAAGTATTTCTTAAAATAAAGGGGCTGGGCACAATGGCATCTATGATCTTTTGCAACTCAAAATCTATGATCCCTGGATTTGAAGGTCTACAGCAATAAAAGGTCTACACCAATAAAAAACAATTAATTTAATTGCTCAACTCTCTTCCTTAGGGCTAATAAAAATTTTAAATTAATAATGGACATTTATTTGAATGTTCTAGGGATGTTCTATATTATTATGGACTCCAATAAATAAAAATACAAAAGAAAGGCACCAAATTTCAGCCAATCCCATCAGAATATGAACAAAGATATTTCAGTCATCTATCTTCAGGCAGGTTTGAAAGTTTTAAGCTTCTTTTTTATTATATTTTTGTCTGAGGTTTGGATTTATCCATTTCCCTCCTGATTCTGCTTCTGACTCTCTGGGATTCAACATCATGCCTCAGCTGCCTTCTCACCCTGGAACATCGCCCTGCCCTGTGGCCCTCTTCTCCAATTGGTGAGTTTGTCCTGGAGCCTCCATTTTGGGAAGGGCACGGGTCAGCCATCCTTTACTCGCCTCCAAGCTCTTCTCACTCTCCTGGACTAACCACCAAGCCTCCATGCAGGTACCACCTCCCATCACCTTTTAATCTCCCTTTTCTGTGTTGTCTTTCCCTATCTGAAAATAAGCTTTCTGAGGGCTGAGGCTGTCTTTCCTTTTGTTTGTGGTTGTATCACCACACCTTAGCACAGTCTCTAGCACATAGGAAGTGCTTAATAAATATTTGTTACTTGCCTATTTTTATTCAATAATAGATGGCCCAAGGGGATTAAAATAATAATGATAATAACAATCATAACGCATTGCTTTATAACTCTATCATTTACTGTTAGATTCCTTCACGTCAATGAAGTAGTTCTTAATATTAATAGTAGTTTATTTTATCTAGCACTTTACTGTTCACAAAGTACATGCCTGACAACAGCCCTGTGAGGCAAGTAGTGCAAATATTATTTTATGCATTTTTCAGATTACGAAATTTAGACTCAAAAAGCTTAAGTGACTTGCCCAATACAACCTGTAAATGACAGTTAGGACTTGAATCCAGGTATTCTACCTCCAAATACTGTTCTTTTCACTATACCAATTCTCTTCAATTTAATGAGACCAACATTTATTAAGGGGCTATTATGTATAAGACTGGGCAACCAGGTGTCACAGTGGATAGGGCACTGGACTCCTCCTAGAGTCAGGAGGACCTGAGTACAAACCCTACCTCAGACACTCAGCTGTGTGACTCTGGACAAATCACTTAACCCTGTTTGCCTCAGTTTCCTCATCTGTAAAGTGAGCTGGAGAAGGAAATGGAAAACCACGCCAGTATCTTTGCCATAAAAACCCAAAATGGGGCCACGAAAAGTTAGACAGGACTGAAATGACTGAACAACAATAAATGTATAAGACATTGTATTAAGCACTGGGGAAACAAAGGTAAGGGATCATGCCCTCTAGAAGCCTACATTCTGAAATGGGGGTGGGAAGGAAGGAGTGAGAGAAGTTCAAATAATATGACACAAAGTAAACTATGACAAAGAAGTCCAGACAGTGGACAATGAGAAATTTGGGAAAGGACAAGGTGTTTTCAGCCGGGACCAGGCTTCGGTGAAGAGGTACTGCCTAAGCTGGGGTTTGAAAGAAGAGGATTTCAGACAGGCAAAGATGTGAAAGAAACGCATTCTAGGACTGGAGGACAGACTTGTGAATGTACATAGCCAGAGGGGGAAGGATAAAATCAAACAACGATTGGTAAGCTACTTTGACTTGAATGTACAATGTTTAAATGGGAGTGGAATGAAATAAGTCTGGAGAGTTAGCATAGAGCCAGAGAATGGAGAGATTTAAATGCCAGGCTGAGGAGTCTTTTTTTTTTTCTTATAGGCCAATGGGGAGCCACTGAAAATTTTTGAGCAAGGTAGTGACCATGGTCAAGGCTTGTGCTTTAGGAAGATTATTTAGGTGGTTCTGTAAAGGACATATTAGAGAAAGAAGAGCCTGGGATCTGGGAGATCAATCAGGAGGCTATCTGGATGGTTTAAGTGAGAGTTAATTACCTCCTGAGTTAGTTGGTAGTATTATAAACAGAAAGAAGGGAACAGATATGAGACATTACCAAGGTAGGCCCTGGAAACTGATTGATACGGTGAATGTGTTAAAGGGAAGAGTCAAAAATATCTGAGGTTTTTAGTTTGGGTTACTAGGAGGGGATAATGGTACCATGAATGCAAATAAGGAAATTGGGAGGAGGGTTTGGCTTTTTGGGGAAGGTAATGGTTTCAGTTTTTCACTTGTTTAGTTTGAATTTGAGGCAAATGATGGGGAACAGGAGAGTAGACATCAGGGGTCAGTACATTTTATCCAGATTTGGGCATTATCTGCATAGAAATAATATGTGAAGCCACAGGAGTGGCTGAGCAGGAGAGAGAATATAGATAAAGAGAAGGAAAATCTGCATTTAAGGACAGAGGTTTAGGGAATACCCACACTTAGGGATCAAGAAGAGGAAAATGAACCATCGAAGAAGACTGAAAATTAGAACACATACTGGTTGAAGAACCAGTGGAGGGTCATCATGGAAGCCAATGTTGATTCTCAAAAAGGAGGGGGTGGTCAAAGGCATCAATGGAAGGAGAATGAAGATTGATAAAAAGTCAGGCTACTGACTATTCTCTCCAGAGGATGCATAGTATTAGTATAATTCCATAAGTAATAACTCACATCTGGCCTTAGTCTTTAATAAAGTACAGCACTCACAGTACAACCCAAAGGGCTGAATGAAGGGGGAGGAGGATTAGGTGATAACAAAAACACTGACCAGCTTCAGGAATAGGAGAGGAGATAAGGTGTTTTTGCTAATTACTAGCACAGTTGAAAGCATCTTCCCTCCAAGTGGGATGAAAATGATCAGTCCAGTCATTGAGAAAAGCAAACCTCCCAGAACTCCATTTCCTATCAAATCAAAAGAATATTTATTCTGTACCTCTTCCAGGCCAATCCTACATACTGGAGTCTCTCGGATGGAATACTCTTCAATCTAATGGCCCTATATGTTTGAGTGAGAGACAGGCAAACGTCAGGGAGAGGTGAAGAAAAGCTAATCCCTCTGCTTTGTCATTTCAAATCAGTTTGAAAAGAGCACATCAATTTTATGACTCAGTGAGAAGGCTATGAAGTTGAGAGTTTCCTGCCCATCCTTTTCCCCTTGGTACCTGGGGCCTTCTCAGCTTGTCTTTCTTCATTAGAATGTGTGCTCCTATGATTTAGGTGAAAGGCCGGGCTCTATCATTCATTAGCTATGACCTCAGATGAGTCCTTTCCCCTTTCTGAGTCTCAGTTTCCTCTTCTGTAAAATTAGCAAACTTCATACCTTAAAGGTATCCTCTACATATAAATATAGGAGGCTGTAAACTACAGGAGAAAGGGAATCATGGTCATTTTCTTCAGAAAGCCATTAAATGAAGTCTTGTGTGTGTGGTATATATGGTGTCTGGATCCAGAGCCAGTAACTTTAAAGGTCTAGACAACTTTTAGTGAGGAAACTTCTTCTGCCAAGTGTCCTCTAATAACGCTGATTAGCAACTATTCTGCATCTTCTAGTCTACGTTACAGAGATGTCCAACTCATACCCCCTTTCCCATCCCCCCACCAAATTAAAATACAACACAGATAAGGTGTATTGGGGATTTTCTAAGTCAAAACACAAAGAGCAGGGATCTGTTTCTATTGGAGTTTGACAGTTCCAGTCTAGAAAAGTGGTATGGAGCCACTGAAAGTTGAAGTAGCTTGCCATATCATTATGTGTGAGAAGAAGGACTGGACCCCAGTTCCTCCTGGTTCTGAAGCACCCCACTGCCTCTTACAGGCTTAATAAACACCGACTAAACTGAATCAGCCAACGTTTATTGAATCAAAGGAATTACTCTATGAGTC